CTTTTATTCTATTTTGACGACGACTGACCCTCCCTCCATTCCCCCTGAAAACCATGCGATGCCCCAAAAATCCTCCACTGCCCCCTTCCCCCAAGGGTATAAGTGGTGACTGGTCCCTAACTAGAAGTCGATATGTAAACTTGGAAGCATTCTATCAAGGGATCTGTACTGTATTGCAGTGAACAATCAGTCAGGCTCAATAACTGTTTCAGTAGCGTCCTGTGTTATTCTTCCCAGTGTCTTGTAAGAATGGCTGTTCTCCAAAAAGAACTTTTTCAAGACAAGCTGGAGGTAATCAATAGCTCACTTGTTGCAGATTATTATATCGCTCAGTTAGTACGTGCACCATGATTGGTCAATTTAGCGGGCCATATTTCACTGCACGGCTCCCTCCATTTGAACCCAGAGATCTGCAAGTTACGCCCCTGGTTTTTTTCCGCTCAGATTTATGCATGTGTGCTTCGTGCTTCGGCCATAAATCCGAGCGGTAAAAACTCCTTCCGTAACTTACAGTACAGACCTCGAACACTGTTATTATATACTGTTGTTTTGGTAATTGGAAGGGTATTACCTATAGGAGATGTACCGTATATAGCCAAATGTGGGAGGTAATAACCACAGGGAGGAAAATACTGTTTGGATTTCGTTTCATTTTTTATGTGCACAATCTTCAAAAGTATATTATATATTCTTTATCGCAGATGTTTGACGCTGCTCTGGTGTATTTCTACTTTTTGGTAGAATTAATTACAAGCAATTGCTTCAGGTAAATTTACAGTATGATTACGTAATTTAACATTACGTACATTTAAACGTAACACCGAACCGCATGTGCATGCATTTTGCTCCAAAGTTTGATATTTCACTTTGTTTAATTGTCATGCTTTCGTTTTCCAGTGAAGTACAAAAGCCTTACCCCAAGTACCTACATATGATAGTCATTCTTCGATGCTGGCGAATTCTTCTCGTTTTAGAACGTAAGTGACCAACCTCAACCGATTACTCAATGCTACCGGCACAAATCATGCGAATCAATCAAATCAATCAGGCCACTATCTCTCTGAAGCTTTTCAGCTGTGTAAATAACTTTACACACCTTATCAAAACATTTCCTAAACAGTCCTTAGTTTTTTCTTTTTTTTTTTTCTTTTTTCGTAATTTGCTCCTTAACGAAAGCTAACTGATTGATTGATCTAACAGGTGATAAACTGGATGATGATCGATTGATTCATTGATTGAATACGATTCAATACATTTGTTGTTCTCGTCGGTTGGCTGGCTGCTGAATTATTCGATTGGTCAGATTTCACCTCCTTGGTTGATTGACTAATTGACTCTCTGACTGGCTGAGTAACTGAATGTCTGAAAAATTGAAGGCCTCATTGACCGACCGACCAACTGACAAACTAAAGGACAGTTGACTCACGACCGACTGATTCTTTGCTTCATTGTCTCACGTTCGTTTTATTTATCTCAATTTAGTCGGATCTCTTTTCATTTCCCCTTAGAACTTCAGCTGGAAAAAGAATTAGAATTGAGCGCCATGGAAAGCCAAACGCAAAGATGACAGCAGTGAAGGACCACACCCCTTTTTGTACAACAAATTAGAATTTTGATCTTACTTCCGGAGTTAGACATCATGTTTAAAACGAGCATTGAAATCGACGCAATCATTCAACCTTTCTACCCCCAAGATTGCCGCCTTCACTCTCCCTTTTTCCTCCTGTAACTTCCTTTCAAAAATGATTCCTAGGAATTTGGCGTAAACTTTTTCGTGATTTTTATCAAATGATCGCTTAGTAACACTTAAAATTTGGTAGAAGAAATTGCTAATTGTTCACTTCGGACGTAAAAAGGTTATTGAGAAAAACTTCAAAGCAAACCAGTCGGCCACTCAGAATTATCGTATAACCCTTTATACCCTAACATCAATATGCATATTCTCTATACTGTCATCTATACATTTCCTAAGGTGCTGACAAGGAGAATTTGTTTAACGATCAAGAGCTTCTTTAGTTGGTGATCAATTTCTTTATTCTCATGATATTAAATGAATGATTCAGCAGTATTACTGTAAGGAGAAACTAGATACTGGTCACTCTTAGGGTTTAAAGGGATAATTATCCCATTTGTAAAGGCTTTGCTCACCGAGTCGGTTCTTGAGCACTATAACAAGAAGCTTGTGTCGTAGTTTAACCAATCAATTCTGTGTGGAACCACCCCCGTTCTCCCGCCAAATGAGACGAGGACCAAAGAGCCCATCTGGCATCGTAGCCAGAGTGAGAGGGGGAGGGGGAAAGGGTAAGAAATAAAGGCTATATGACGTGAACGTAATTTTACCTCAAAATACCCAGATGATTCTTGATTATGCGGAGCATAACATTATAATCGCTTTCGATTCTTTGTTTTATACTATATAATTAATAAAACGTTTTTTTTTTAAAAATAGCTATATAGCAATCAGTTTAATCCATATAAAACCCGACCGATGTAATTTATTATGAAATACGGTGGCGTTAGGATTGCTGAGTTTGACAACTTTATGTTGAGTCAGGATTCCCATACACATTGGTATATCGAGATTCTGACAATGAGAGGTATTTTGTATACATTGAGGTATTAAAAACTAAAAGGAAAAATATGCTTTCTGTTTTAAGCGAACATCGTGTGCATAAAAAAAAACCTGCGTGGAAATATAGCTATAATTAACCAAGTACGATAACCTCGTTAAAATTTTATTAATTGGGTGACAACGAACGAAAAGAACAATACAAAAAATATCGAGCCTGAAAACTGTAGTAATCCTCAAAAGTGTTCTGTCATAAATGGAAAAGGTGCCACTGGTCAAAGGAACACAGAAGAAACAAAAGTACACTGAAAGAAACCAGCTCTACTGTTCATTTTCCCATTTCCTAATCGATAAACAAAAATGATGTACTCTTGCATTGTAACCTTAGCATTATTACTGTTTTTTTTTTTGACAAACCTTTTATTGACAATATATTAGAAGGAGGAATTAAGAAATTTACGTAATGACAATTTGAATCTTTAGAAGAGAAACTCAAAAACGATGGTCATGGCTCTCAAAGGGGTAAATTAAGTTGTTTGATTCTTCCTTTACGTTTAGTAGAAACGAAAAATTGACGATCTTATTCTTTACAAATGAAACGGACGACTGGGTCATTTGAACAACTCTAGATCTGAGAGGAAAGACTTCTTAATCCATTCCTTGAAACACCACGTATGAATACAAATTAGCCTTCCCCAGGCGTTCTCTTTTTGTCCGCGCAAAGTCTGAGAAGGGATCACGTTACGTCTTACAAAAGTATCCAGAATTAACCTAGCGGAAGGGCCTTGGGACTAAATGTAAGCAGAATACAAATAGAATCAGGCCTCCAAGCTTCCCCGGTCTTGTTGTGCAGTTAGTTTCATCAGCCGTTTTCCCAAGTTGGTATTGTGTTGCTGTAGATATCGGATCATGTCCGCTTGTTTCTCCAGGACTTCATCTAAATAATCATTGTCCCTAAGAGGGTGTTCAATGTATGAGGAAGTTAATTTTTATGCATCTGTCAAAGTATATACAACTATAACTTGCACTGAATCTAAAAGATCCTAATCCTGGTCACTCAAAACAGTAATTCGCTTATACACGTGTGTCTCGGAAACCTGTCGATTAGATTAGGTCGACAAGACAAGGTCGAATGACAGAGAAGGCCGACGATCAGCAAAAATAAATACGCAAGTCAACACCAGGAGTGTTATGCGACAGCCAATCGCTGAGGGAATATTTCTGCGAATTGCACCAATCACAGCCGTTAAATACCAGCCAATCACAGCTGGGCATATTGGTTCCTTAGGTAACGCGTAACCAATTGATCTTAAAGCCCGAGGAAGAATCACAAAATACAATCGATACACGCAATCCACATCGGAAGTTACCACATCGTGTGACTTGCAATGCTGAAGGTCTTGAGGGAAAACAATTCCATACTCACCTATATCCTGTTACGGAAAGGGAAGATGCCCCATTGTTTGTGTAAACGTTCAAAAAGTCTGAGTCCTCTGCATCTGGGAGTGGTCTTCTTACGTTGAATTTGATAACTTTTACTGAAACAACAAAACATAACAACATTGCCACAGAAAACAAGTATCGGTAAGCAGCTTCCCTCCCACAGTGAACAGAACACAAGTATTCTCTACCACAGGAATTTTTGACAATGTTAAGTGGACAGGTACTGAGAATTTAGAAAATTATCAAACTGAGGGACATTGCCTTCATTCACAATGTAGGAACAAATTCTTCGGAGTAGCCTACAATTCTAACTTAAATGATTGCCTTCAGAATTTGGGAGACAAAACTATTGATACAAGTAATTTAGTATACAAACACAGGTAAATGTCACTTTTATTAATTGATCAAATACCGAATTCTCCAATCTAGCATTGTACAAATTGTATGGTGAACAGTAAGGAGAAGTACTAAATACCAGATCTTGGGAGTGAAGGGGTTGAAATTTCTTTTTAAAATAGCTTTTTTTAGACACTGCTAGGAAGACAAAGTAGCCTTCACAGAGATGAGTGATCATCAATTAGAGACTCCAAGCTCTCAGATCTATGGAGAAATTAGTTTTAAAATGTTTGGAATATTTGCACAACTTACCTAAGTACCACAGAATTCCAGGCACAGAAATAATAAACTCAACAGTGAAAATAATCTGCAATATATTGTATAGTGCCAGGTCACCCCTGTCAGATTTGTTTGAATCATGACCCATGACTGCATATATAACCAACAAAACAGCATTTCCTGGAAGAAAAACAAACATTGTGTTTGACTCTTGATACATCAAGCCTTTGATGGAAATTTCACACATTAGAGTTGAAAGGAGTTTGAATCATTGGGAGCCAATGACAACTGATGGATAAAACATGTTTCCAGTGCTTCAATAGTTATGGTTTCCACACTGAATATACTATAACATATGTACTGGTAAGTCTTCAAAATAAGTCTTTACGTTGACCTATGAAATAACAATGCTGTTTCAACAGCTAGAGGTGTTGGTGAACATTCCTCACTCTGTAAATATGTAAGAGATTGATACAAATACCAGGAAAATTAATTCACTCCATTCACATGTTTTTCCCAGTAGAGCACAGAGAAGGGATTGGACCTCTTTCCAACTCTCTTCACACCCAAATAGGGTGTTAGTCTGCTGGTCAATCATAAATCCTATACCTTAATTCAACCAAGTATGAATTAGAGTGTTGTAAAATAAAATACTGTTTCTACTGATAGTGCTGTGAAAATGTAACCAGACCTAGTGATAAAATGGCGTGCGGAATTCTTCTCAACTCTTTGGTCTCTCTAAAGAACTCCAGATAACCTTTAGCTTGGGACTGATGATGTTGATATTGCAAAACTCTGTCGCAGATAAATATAACTACCCACAACCCCACATGTAGTAAGATGAAGAAGCTGAATGGAGGATCCGTACCACCAAGCGACAAGGAAACCTCAAAGTTTTTACCCATAAGTTCTTTATTAGGCAAAATAAATTGAAGGGATTCAAAAGCAATCTGAAAAATAAAAAATTGATAAATATATATTTATATATACAATTATAAGCTTTACTGAAAATTATAGGGAGTGATTGGCCAAGCTGCCCTGCTTTATAGGCTAATGTAACATGCCAAACTGGGACCAATCAGAATATATAGTACATTCGTCTATTGAATGGTATTACATCCAAACTTGATATCGTCCTTTTCCTGCAAAATTTAGCATGCATGCATTTGCAGTTTCTTTCAAGCCTTTTTCCAAGCTAATCAAAAGTTATTTATTTGACATATATTCTTTAATTTTGTGTCAAATATTTAATTTTACATATCTTTGCTACAGATTGAAGACAAGTCTTACCATTTCATAATGGTGGTAGGACTGAGTGGAGTCCAGCTTGGTCTGTAATCATATGAGTGATTGACAAAACCAGACAAGCGTGGAGTGAGAGTCTGATTTGATAATCACAAGTATGATTACAGACAGAATTGGACAACATGAAGTCCTGTTACCAATTAATCAAAACTGTAACAAAATGTAAGAAACAAACTACATGTAACTATACATTTTCATAAAAAACCCAGTTAACTCTGAGAAAAGCAAAACAACAATACATGATGTGTATAATTAGAGACACAACACATACAGTAAACTATCCAATTACACTGTCTAATCAAAACTATAACAAAATTCTCGAACGTGATTGGTTATTACCAGCCTGATTTGAGTGCTAATAGGCCAGTGTACACCTCATGCTTGTAATTGGACAGTGTAATAACACAGTTAAAAGGACAGTTAACACATCATGCTTGTAATTGGACAGTGTAATAACACAGTTAAAAGGACAGTTAACGAATCATGCCTATGTAAGAGGACAGAAAGCATCATGAACGCACTGTTGTCTCCCATTTCACCAAGTTAAATGTTGATATTTTTATGAAAACATATACCCGATGTCTAGTTTCTTTCTCAAATTTTGTCATAGTTTTGATTAATTGATAATAGGACTTTGTGCTGTCCAATTCTGTCTGTAATCATACTCGTGATTAACAAATCGGACTCCTGCTTTGCGGTCATCCAATTTTGTTTATCACTCGTATGATTACAGACAGAATTGGACTCCACTCAGTCCTATTACCATTATCAATCACAAGCACAAAGCATACACTGTTCTATTAGTAGAGAGAAATACTTTGAGGAAATTTTTTGGCAAAATTAACAAATCCCTTTATGACAAAATTTGAAAATACAACATGGCTGAGTGTCTTTCTTTTTGCTACATGTAATTCATAGCACTGATTTTCTCCCAAAACCAAAGAGGCAAATGAAGAACTTGATAAACATCCAAATTATCTTTGCATTGCCCATTATCTCTATAAACTCTTAACTTGTGCTTGTACTTACAAAGAGGATCAGCTGTAAAATAGCAATCCATGCTGTTCGAATTGGATGAAACTTTGTTTCGGGTAAAAGACCCAGGGAAGCTGTGTCATTGGCTAGGGCTTCTTCCTGGGCTTGAGAAGATATCCCTGGACTGCCACTGTCCTCTCGGTCGAAAAAGTAACCCTGTGGGGAGAAAAAAAAAAAGAAAAAAAAAAGTAAAGTGAGGCTTACATAGATACATAACCTTAACTGCTCCCTGAATTTGAGAGCAGCTATATAAAAATTTAGCAAATAATAAAATAAAAATGTCAACAAAACCAAAACAACACCAAAATATACTTACACTGTACATAATATTTTATGGATATGGACCTCTTATCTTTCAACTAATAATATTTAGAAGTAAAGTGCTAAAAAAAAAAATTAGTAAACAGTTTCTCCCTGTAGTTTGTTTTGCATGTCCATAGGAGTGTAACCAACTTTATTCTCCTTTTCCCCCCACATCACTACTTCAGATAAATGATGTGTTCCTCCATGCTCTGGCCTTTGGGGGTTAATCCTTTCACTCCTAAGATCTCGTTACAGTAATAGTAATACAGTGGTAGTAATTCTACTTACTATCTGCCCTGTAATTCTTATTACTTGTGTTCTGAGAATTTGGTATTGGATCAAACAATATTCCCCTAATTGATAATTTTTCCTCACACTCATCTTTTGTCTGCTTTATATTGTATTGACATTTTAGGGGAAATTCTGTCCTGGTCTGACTTATGGGACTTAAGGGTTCATACTTCAAACTCACAAAAGGTGAGAGTTTGAAGCCTGTCAGTGCATATTTGCTTTGCCACAAGAGGTAGAAACACTCCACATCACTTCATGCGATAGACACTGAAGATAAGCATGATATCGCACCAGAAGTCATGGAATCACACGGCATCTCATGCTACAATGAGCCCCCTCCCCAGCAATGTTAAATAACCTAATAAACGTTACAATGTATGTCACTTGCAAGTAAGTTAAGGAAAAAATAAACGAACCTAATGAAAAATTTAAAAAAATAGTGAGCATGCAAAAACTAGCATCGTCTCACTGTTGTTGGTTAACCTGTGAGATAGTTAAACACATATTTATTCTGCCAGTATACTAGTGAAATTGTGTCATTTAACCTGAAGAGCGGAAATTTCTTTTTGATTGCGACGTTAGCGCGTGTATCTTCCTCATTACCGAGGAAACAAATTTATTTCTCTATATTTCATTTTAAACTGACATGAACGAAAGGACAAATGGAAACTTTATAATACAGACGACACGCTTGATACTTCAGATGATCTGAACGCAAAGGAATAAGCAGAACAGTCTTCGTTAAAACAGTCCAGACTGCGCTGATGCGGAAAAAAATCTCTTACCCCGCTTCCTCGGTCTCCACTTAAACTAACCATCTCAGAACGTTGCGATTCTTTCACATTTCGTATCGAAACACAAACTTTGAGCAGTAAAACTTGTAAGAAGCTACAAATATCCACTTAATTTGAGCCTGTGAGGCACATGACTGAGACAAACCTTTTATATACAGTGAGCCCGTGTGCAAAAAAAAAACCAGCGGAAAACAAAGCAGTACCAGATCTCTTTCAACCTTCCAATATGGCGGTCACAGGTGTAGGGCAAATATCACTTTCCTCACGAAAATTTGCCATTCTCGGTGGAGGAATATCTAGCCTAGCCGCCGCTTATCACCTACTGGATAAAGTGAAAGACCCGAGTAACATAACAGTTCTTGAATCTAGCGAGAGAGTTGGGGGATGGATGCAAAGTTGCTCTACGGAGAACGGGGCTGTTTTCGAGTTAGGCCCGAGAAGTATTAGGCCCGCAGGCAATGCCGGGAGAGCAACCCTTAAAATTGTAAGTAGAATTCATATGAGGGAAATTTCTCACGTGTGTGTGTCACTCGTGGTCGCTTTTTGTTTTTATGCTCAACTGAAGTCCTATATTGGAGCAGTAGCTCCTCAATTCATTGGGGGTGATTTAGGGACCAGTCGTATTTAAAAGGGGGGAGGGACAGGGCTAATGCAAAATTGTACATCCCTTGTTTACTTTATCCTAGCCCGCCTTTTCGCGAGGCACTTGAAGTTAAGTGCTTTGTTAGATATTAGGGGTATTTTACCGTATGTTTTGTTATGCCAGAATCATTGAATACTTGTAGAAATTTATATGCCTACCCCCCAATCTTTTTATCTTTTATAGGTCCCTTAGAGGGTACTTTCTCTTTTGTGGCAAGGGGTCACTCGATTCATGTTCACGAAATGATCTTTCTTCTGTACTTTTTGAACAGGTTCATGATCTGGGCTTGGAGAAAAATGTTCTCTCAGTTTCTTCAAGTCATCCTGCAGCAAGGAGTAGATTTATATACTCTCGTGAAAAACTGCATCAGCTTCCCTCTGGAGTTATATCAATAATAAAAAGACAATCTTTGTTTTCTAAATCATTACTACCTACTATAATTAGAGAACCATTTGTGAGAGGAAAGCAAGATCATGAGGATGAAAGCATTTATAATTTCTTCAAAAGAAGGATGAATGAAGAGGTATGTGCATTTACTAGTTTTCATTTGTCACAATGTATTTTAATATTAATGTTTGATCTGTGAACAAAGGCTGTTGCAAATTCTTTGATTTTAGTTGATTTATCGCAGGTGAATTTGCCCAAAATGTCAACTCAATATCAGTAGAATCACTTTGGATATTTGTCATGATTGGCTTATTGTGTTTGCTTTTCTGTGGTTTCAAGGTAGCGGAGTATCTCAGTGATCCACTCTGTAGAGGCATCTTTGCTGGTGACTCTCGTTTGCTGAGCCTTCAGTCATGTTTTCCTGCTGTGCATCAGTACGAGAATCAACATGGTTCCATAATCAAAGGAGCTTTCTTTACAAAAGAAGGTACCTGTGTTTGCATTTCAGAGGGAAGGTCTTCAGAATTTAGTAGAAGCAACCCTCTTCTAAATGTGGTTGAACCATCTCATTCTTAAGATTGAAGAGCTTTTAAACTTTTATTTTTAAAACTTTTTTAAACTTTTAACCCTTTATGAATGAATGAATGTGTATTTATATACCGCACATATCACTAATTGAGTGAGATCGAACGTCAGCTTGTAAAGGCGCCTCTGGCTGCCGCTATCAGTCCATATTTGATCTCACTCACCCACCCAGCCCATGCATGAAATGTACAATGAAACAACAGATAGACCACCACACCGGGAACTACGCCCCCTACTCTTTTCGACAAGTTTGTGGGTTCTTTAATGTCCCCTGCTGACCATGTAACACTGAAGATGCAGGAGACGGGGCCTACGGTTTATAGTCCTTATCCGAGAAGACTTGAATGTCTAACCATTTGCTGGTACAATTACAAAGGCAGCACATTCTCCTCAGTTATTTTAAGACCCTGAGTGTTGGTCCGGTCTGGGGCTCGAACCCTCGACCTCCCGCACAGCAGACTGGCGCTCTACCAACTGAGCTAACCAGGCGGTTACACCCTACCATCAACATGCACATTCTCCATACTGTTTTCTTTACATTTCCCAATGTGCTGGCAAGGAGAATTTGTTTAAGGTTCTTCAGCTGAGTATCATTTCTTTTATCCACATGACCTTAATGTTTGATTCAGTGGTGATACAGTATTGAAAGGAGAAATTAGATCACTGGTCACTCTCAGGGATTACAGGGTTAAGGTCACCCCATAGTGTTCCATTGCACATCCTTCCTGTGCATAATTTCACATGTAACTAAGGTGCACATTAAAAAATGGATGCTTTTTTGGAGCTCACTGGAGAGGTATATGTAACTCATCAGTTTTTCTCCAAAAAGCATGGTGACCTATCTTTATTTTCTGTCTTGGAATTGAGCTATGTCTCTCTTCCTGTAAAATAAATATAAAGGTAAGCAATTCTCATAGGTTAGGAATGGAAATGATTGAAGTAGATTGCAAATGAAAAAATGAAATGTCTTTCATTCATTTTAGTCTCCGACCCCTCTGTTATGAGTCCATTGGCAATGAGGGCTAAAGAAGAACGATGGAGCACTTGGTCGCTCAAGGGCGGTTTGCAGACACTATCTGACAAACTACTTGAAGTATTAATACAGCGGGGAGTGAACGTCAAAATGACCTCACCTTGTACAGCTGTGAATTTTAACCCTGACGGCAAACTGAGAGTAGCATGGCCCAATGAGGAGCTAACAGTAGATCACGTGATGAGCGGCATACCAGCTGAGAGACTCGCAACTATTTTACCCGAAGACTGCCTGGAATTAACATCGGAGTTGAAAAATATAAACAGTACAACAGTAGCTGTGGTCAATCTTGAGTACGAAGGAAATGTAGTGCCCGTGGAGGGGTTTGGGTATTTAGCTCCTTCCTCTGAACCATTGAAAGTTCTCGGGATTATCTTTGACTCCTGCGCCTTCCCTGAAAATGATCGACCCGGAGGAAAAACTACACGATTAACTGTAAGTAAGCCAAGTTGTTCATAACAAAAGATCCTTTTAAAGTATCCGCGTTCAGTATACCCCTAAAAAGACCGATTTGAAATTGAGTGAAGAAAGTTGTTCAGGTTACTTCGGTTTCACTTCGCTACGCTCATGTAATTCGTTCAGGAAACCTTGTGCCTCTTCTGAAACCAAGAAAATACATATTTAAGTATCGACTTTCAGTATAATCGTACAAAGAGCAATATTTTATTGAGTGGCAAAAGAGTCCCTTGGTTAACAACATAACAGGTCGGGGCTCGAACCAGGACTTCTCGTTCCAGAGTCCAGCGCGCTCCCGCTGACCCCTGTGTCTCTAATTGTAATTATTGTTATTATAGTAAAAATCCTAGTATTACTATATAGTTATAATAAGTTTTAATTTATAGTTATAATGATAACGATGATGATAATGATACCACTTCTACCAATAATAACGATAATAACAATGAACCTGACTCGTTTCGTCTCTGTTCCCTATTTCAATTTCATCCCTTTTCTGTCGACTTTCAGGTCATGATGGGAGGTCACTGGTTCAATTCCCTATTTGGAGATCCTAACTCAGTAGACCCCAGTCATCTACAAGACGTTGCGGAAGAAGCTGCCGAAAAAACGCTCGGCATCCGAACTAAACCGACGAGTTGTTTGACCACTGTGCAATATGACTGTATACCTCAGTACACCTTGGGTCATTCTTATCGTTTGAAAAACATTTTCGACTTCATTGAGAAACGCAAGCTACCTCTTTCTCTGATCGGATCATCATATAATGGTGTTAGCGTAAATGACTGCATTTATAATGCTCAGCGCGCTGTAGAACGAATTTTGGCAGCGAATTGATAAAGGTTCGAACTCTAGTTAGCAAATATCGTAGACTACCTCGTAGAGGTAGGTTCATCGTAGTACATCGTTGTAGTCTGGTTTTGTATGATTCTGCGAGTGTGAATGGAACCAAACGCATAAATGTCGTTTGGACAGTGAGGGACTAAGCCGAACCCACGAAAAAACAAACCAAGTTTCTTTTCTAGCACGAAGCACCTTGTCTCGTGCCATTCTCTTATCCACTCAATCCACTGTAGCAAAAAGCTATCGCCTAATGTTGGTAAAGAAAAGAGGGTTGACGGTCCACAAATACTATCTTTGCCGATAATATTTTTTTCTTGTCACTACTGGTCTAGACAACAAGGTCATAAGTCAGAGTTCGACAGAAAGCCATCTGGGTTTCAGAATTTTCCCGGGGATGGTATGTGAAGTACTCGTTTGAGGTCATTTTTATGGACAGAACATTTAAGCAATTGATGATAAATAAATGGATACATATTTTGTTTAATACATTTAGAAGGCGTAGCCATGTGATCATTTCTGTGAACAGTTAGAAATTGTAACAAAGAGAATGAACATGTTTTAATTAAGGATAAACAGATATTCTTGATTACATCCATTTTGAAATCACCGGTGATCCTTGTAATCTGATTGGCTCTCATTGGTGCCATGCATTTACGAAACGTAACATTTTCTGCTCTTAATCGCATGTTTTTCCCAGCCACAGAGGATGTATTACTCAAATACAATAACCAATCAGAGGACAAGGCTTGTTCAAAGAAACCAATCCAATTGCAGGAAAAATAAAAAACAACTAATGCAACTTTCTTCACACTAGCTCACTACAATAGAATGTTTGTGCAGACTAAAGAATCTTGCATTTAAGCGAATGAATTTTGCGATTTTAAAATGGATGTAATTGAGTGGTAAGTGAACTTCGTGTCGTGCAATTTTGATCTGAAATGCGCGTACTTGTGTACACGCTTATGATTTCAGACCATATTGCACTCCACTCAGTTCAATTAGTATAGGTAATTCCATGATTTCTCTTTCAATTTGGTGGTAGTAAGCACGAGTACATTTTTCAAAGACAACAAAATTACGGGCTCGTGCATTTGTAGTCTTTGACAAATTTACAAGTGCTAATTCCGCCAAATTGCAAGAGAAATCGTGTTATTTCTTGTTAATAATGTACATAAAAAAAATCACGGAAGGTCAAGACGGACGAAACTTTGAAAGCATGCGCGCTAATTTGCACAAGTGTTACAACTTTGCACTTGTGTGACATGAGAATGCACTCGTTTTCAGCCAATCAGAAGCGCGTAATTTTTCAGGTACATTATTACCATTTTAAATTAACTTTTTAATTTGGAACCCTTGACTCGGCTTGTTTATCAAGCAACTATGGATTCTATTGGTCAGTTCTTCGTTTGAGGGAGGTCCTATTTTATTTTTGAGATAATGATTCTGCTTACGTCATTTCATTTTCTCCCCCAATTTCCATATACAGCTTCTCGATATACGTCAAACGTAATTACAGTGTAAAGGGGCAGATTCACCGAAACACTTCCACTTTAACAGCTGCTTGCGCAATAACATGAACATGTTTATGAATAAGAGTTATTTCCTTGTCTCATGTTGTTGAACCTAATTGAAAAAAAGGAAACAAAATTGTGCTAAATTTTGCTTTTTGCCTCTACAGCAAACGCTGTCGGAATTTGTTATGCAACAGTAATTATCCAGTTTCCTTCAGGATTTTAACTTTTTTTGTTGCCATTGGAAACAGACATATGACATGGTTATCGAGGGCGACTGTAGTCGAATCATGTTCACCTAAGGAAAAGCTTTACCGACTGAGTGGGTCATGAAATACTAGCCTGTTTGAAATAAGTAAAGAGGTGAACAAATTTCTTTCAACATGGGAAATGGAGTTTCGGGCAAAGCGTCGGCAAATCTCAAAACCATTTATCTTGAAGTGGACGGGCGCAAACAAAAGGTAAGAAAATTTTAATCGACTCTCCGTCGTTCTTTCGATTCTATGTGTTGCCTTTCAGTGAGGAAATCTAATTTAATCGCCATTTGATCAACCACTTTTCATTCTATTTTTTATCCTGTAAGAAATTTTTTCATTAGTATCAGTGTTAAAATTCGATGATTTTGTTTTTCTAGTGCATGAAATGTGTTGACGATGGTATTTGAGAAGAAAAAGTGGACTCGCTTTATCTTTATATCTCTTAATGTTTCGCGAAATAACTATATTTGATTGCTTTAAAATCACAGTAAGGTAATGAAAAATGGCGGAATTGAATTGTTAAGTTGATGAGTCGCCTCCTCAACCGTAGAACGGTGCCAGCTATATATTTCCATTAGCTGGTCAAGTTGAGATTGGTAAGGAGCTGCAATTTATGCACTCCACGCATTTTTGAAATGAAAAGAAATGAACAACATGATAACCCTTGGGACCTAATCACATTACACTTGTGTAACTGAGTATCGTGAACATTTTCTTCTTTCGAAATATCATTTAGGTCGTTTTCTCAAAGCACAGTAGTTCTCGGGATATCAAAGATCTTCTAGCTTCAGCCGTTGGAGTGAGTCGGTAAGTTCAGAGGGTTGTCTTTGTCTGGTCTGTACAATTAATTTTCTGTAAGTTCATAGCCAAAGATGTTCTGGTTAACGACCTAATTTTCTCTGTTATTAGTGAGGTTTAAAACTGAGGAAATTACATTCCTACTTCACATTTTTGAAAGCGCAGAGTTAAAGAAATTTGTTTTCGTACTTCCGTGTTGAAGAGAATATTTCGATAATTCACAGTGGGGTCGTCGAAAAAAACCCTATGTGGCCATGGAATTGACAAATCTCAGCTATAGTCTCAAGTATTCCTCTCTCTCCCGTCATTTTCTCTTGCTGTTATTCATTTCGTACTGTTTTTTTTTTTTTTTATCTCAGATGGTCCAACATGATGTTGAAGACACAAGATGGAAGCACTGTGTGTATTGAGCCGAATTTACCGTCGAATACCGCACGGTAGGAGAAAATATTTTAACATCCACACTCATTTGGGTCTCGAGGAGTAACTTTACAACTAACTCTCCATTCACACTACTGCTAAGAAATGTTTCAAAGCTGTTTTTTTTTGACATGGCCTAAAATTGTTCCTTGTAAGTTGCTTACATTGTAGTTTATCGACTTCAAATGTAGTATAACGAAAATACAGCCCAGTGATTACTTGAACCCCATTCTGTTAAACCTGATTTAACTAAACATGTTTTGCTTTGGTGGATGGGGCATAAATCACGCTTAGAGGAAAGTATTTTCAAATTTTTTCATGGCATTTCATTCTATATTTCCAACAATTGCCACTTCTTTTTTTCACGTAGTGTGAGTGAAAACAAGCGGTTCTTGGCACAAGAGAACCGAGCCAATCTCATATTTAAAATAACTTGACTAAATTCTGACAATTAAGCATAACTCTTTCAGTAACTGTAGGATTTACCGCCTTCGTTTCCTGTTTTTAAAGTCTACGAAGCTTGTTTACTCGCCATAAGTTGACTTTTAGGCCAATGCGCACATACTTCGCCCATCTGCACATTGTTATGAACGATGTTTTCGTTTGTTTCGTAGATCACCTTATCGTATTGTAATTGGTGCCATGGACAAAAATCCATATGCTTCGCCCATCTGCACATAGTTATTAACGATATTTTAGTTTCATTTCGTAGATCACCTTATCGTGTTGTAGTTGGTGCCATGGACAAAAAGCACGGTAAGTTAGAAGTGATACTATAGGTTTCGGTCCGCCGTTGAATAAACGTGATACTGAGTTTTTTCCGTAGTTGAAATTGCTGTGTGGCATGGACGCGTCACTTGTAAGTAGCTGGAGTGGCATGGACGCGTCACTTGTAAGTAGCTGGAGTGGCATGGACGCGTCACTTGTAAGTAGCTGTACGTACAGGATGCCTTTTTTCATCTGGTCAGAAAGCGAAAAAGGTGGAATAAGTGAAATAGTCAGACATTACTCGGTACCTCTGCGGTAAGCTTGGCATAGGTTGGACATTTCCAGCGCGTGGACCACGTTGTGAATTCCCCCCGCTTGTTTTATATGCGAGTTCCCCCCGCTTGTGCTAGTTGTGAAGTTTCCCGCATTTAGTGCTCGTTGTGAGTTTCTTGCACTTGGTGCTTGTAATATGTTTTCTCGCAGTTGGAGTTTGTTGTATGTTTGTTATGAAATACAAAAATTAGAAGTCGGTTTGGGGACTACTTAAATTAGGAACGTTCTGGTGAAATATTTGGGAACTGTTTAGGCCTGTTAGGTTATCTTGAAATCTTTGTGTGAGTCTTTTGAGCCTTGGTTTGTTACGTGCTGTAAGACCACAAATTTATTTTAAGTTATTGACTGATGTGTCCCTGACCGTTATAGTCAGGTTTAATTCTCGTACGATGATCAACATCGCTAGTCGTGTTAGGGTTTGTCCTTGATCTTGCTTAGAGTCCTCAACGGGAAGTTTTCTCGGAGAGTTAAGTAAACTGTTGCTGATCAGACTCTCGGTGCCTCTCGGCGCCGTTTGCGCGTTGTGTACGAGTTAATCTACCCCGACAGTCCAATATATTTCTCCCAGCATGGTAATTGGTCTATTTTTCCCGCGCTTGGCACTGAGGGCATGTTTTCTCCTTCGTCACACTTGGTGTACATATCCTTTTTCCTTTCGTTTTTTTATCTCCTTCAATCATGCTTGAATTACAAAAGGTTTATATCACTACAAATTTTCTTCTCTTTCCTTTGTTCACGTTATTTTCGTTCCATTTTTCTTCGTATCCAGGAGACGAAGAGGTCTTTGCAAATGTGCTCAGCCAAGTTGCTGATAAGTTTATCAGGTTAGATAAACATTAACTGACTTCTGGCCAAGCTTGATTTTATGAATTATTTAATGAGTTAGAGATAAATTTGTTTTAACTCGGTTGAAAATATCAGTCTTACGTAGAGAATACATGCAAATTCTGGTCAATTGCTCATACGACATTCAATGAATATTTCTTTATAACGAATTTATCACTTGGCCTTTGTTTGTTTTTCCTTGCTGAAAAGCCACCACGAATTTTCGTATTTGCACATATAATGGCTCAGGTTATTTCCTGTTACTATGATAAAAAATGTCTGGCGTATACTTGATCACCAATTTTTTTACTGTTAATTTTTTTCCAGTACCTTCACAGTGTCCCAGCTGAAGTCCGAATTGGCCAAACAACTGTCGCATTTGGAAAGAAAAGTAGAAGGTTACTCGAGCACACCTTACACACCTTTGTGCATGTTCTCTAAACTTCCCGCGTGCTTCATAGTTCATGAACACACGCTGAATCGCGAAGAAATTATGTTATAAAATAATTCAAATAGTACGCGCGCTCTGATTGGCCATAAAACCATTTTACATGAGCGTATGTAAACACGGTTTTCGTTCCTCTTTCATTAGTTATTTTATAAAAGAAATGTAAAATGGTTTCCGTGTTTACATAGCCTGATGTAAACACTTGGGAGGTTGGGAGAACACTCGATACGCTGGAAACCACTCCGCTTCGCGTCGTGGTTTCCTACGCTTATCTCGTGTTCTCCCAACCTCCCAAGTGTTTACATCAGGCTATGTAAACACGGAAACCATTTTACATTTCTTCATTAAAAATTGTAGCGAGGCTATTAAGAATAGAAATCACCAGAAAACACTGATAGCAATCGATGTTTGGGCAAAGATGAGCTGCTTTTTCTACGATTCACAAATCTCCACGAAGCGTCTTTAACTCGTCATAAGAAAAAAATCACAGTTATGATTATTTGAAACTGGTCCCTTTATTTTCCTTTTGCTTAAAGCTGAGGCATTGAAGGCAATTGAAATGCAGCACTTGAGTGCAGAGATCACCGAGATAAGGGAACAAATACGTCAAGACAGGTATTTATTCCAAAAATCTACGCACATTTCTTTTTTTTTACTTCATTTTCAGATCCGATGAGAATCTAGTGCATTCCCCTTTGGTGTTAATTACAATATTTTTTAAATTGAATGTCCAGAGTAATCCGGGATCGTGTGATTTTACTCTACTCTGCAGTCTCTGATTGGCTGGGAAAACTCGCGCCATTCTACCAAGGCGATAAAATTCAAAACTAAAATCCATCGCGACGTGGTCACATAACAACTTCGGGTTTGGTTTTATGACACTCATTCGAAACTCTTTCTAATTTGATATAATGTGTTCGAGAGACCTTCAAGTTAAGGTAAGAGACTGCCATTCTTATTCCAAGTGTGAATCCCTCGAGCGCTTATTTCAGATCAGCCCCGTTTCAGGAGATCGTCTATTCTATTCTGTTCTCTGCCTAAACATTCAAGCCAAGTGAGACACAGGAAAATGATAGACCGGAAGCACATTACATATCTTATTATGAAGGTGTCGAAATATTCTATTCTATGATAAATATTGCTAATACTTGGAAACGCTTAGCGAAAAAATTCGATTTCATGTATTGAGTTAAATCACAGGTCAAGACAAAATTAAAGGATTCCCTCGGTAAAAAAAGGAAAGACGAGAAATGGAAGGAAAATCAAGCTTGAACTCTAATTATGAAGAAGGTGCAAACTAAAAGAAAAAATATTTCCGGCTGATGAGTACAAAAATGTAGAAGACACAGAAACAGAATCGAAGGCCACTATCTTGCTTATGATATTTTGATAATTGCTAAACTGTGATCGTTTTTGCTCGTAACAATCCTAGAATCACTTGGCAAGCCATCAAAGACAATGTCAAGACAAACAAGAATAATAAAAGGAACATCAGCATTTCACGACCAATGCCCAACTTTGTCAAGGTAGGTCAAGATGAATATAAGGTGATCTTAGACGAGAAATCCTTTTGTAGCTGGTTAAACACTGTCATGTAATCAAAGGCTCCTGTTAGGAGGTTCATGGATGATTTGGATTAGCGAAAGAAAAGGCAGCTAAAAAAAAAAAAAAAAAAAAATAGGTCCGGAATGCGAACATGTGTGGCTTACGATCATGTTATAGGGCAAAACTCACAACTTTCTCGTCCCTTGTAAAAATTGGCAGACATAGTGGAACAAAACTATAACTTAGCACGAGAGACTGGAGTTGGATGGTTAATCCAGTTTTAATGAATAAATTAATCGGAATGGAAAGTGCCATAGTGAGTCCTATAAAGCCGCCCGACCACCCCCTACACTTCATGGAAAGACCACGTCATCCGTGAACTAAAAATGAGACGGCAGTCTTGGACAAATTTCTTTGAATCAGAATCGAGTGTTGAGCTTAAAAGACATGCAACTGACAGATCCCTTAAACTCAGTTTTTTTCTCCCTTCTTTCATCTGGTGTCGCAAACCAAGAAAGATGGTTCTGGGGCGAAGGGGGAAACAAAGTTACTCAAACACTTTTTACCATGATCGAAAATTCTTTAGAGACTGTGTATTGCAGCTTTTTTCTATTATCTCCTGTAAATTACGAAATTACGTTGGCTACCCGAGGACAAAATTAAACAATCAGCTGGATTGCAATGGTGAAAATGCTTACTTTTTGTGAGATAGCTCTCTTCAGTATTACCTTACCTGCCATATTTGGATATATCTAGTTCCATACGTGGATATATCTTTTGCGAATAGGTTTTCAATTAAATGTAAACTTATTTTGCAGTATACCTTGTCTCAAACAACGGTAGAGCAGTTGAAGGAACCAATTTTCAACATATGGCACTGGGAACCTAATGAGGTGTGACGTAAATTTGTATTAAGGTCACTGAGTCTGCGTAAAGCCAACGAAGCTAAACTGCTGGAAATTGTCCCAGTTTTTAAAACATAAAGCGAAAATGAGTAATTATAACTCAGCCTTTATAAAGGATGGGATGATAGTCATTTATGATAGTTAACCCGTTGTGTTATATGCAATATTACTTGGCCTTCTAATTGGCAACTTACTCTGCAAATTCACACGCCAAAGTTTGTTCTTTTCTAGTCATCTTGGCAGCCAAAACGGTCGCAGCATGGAGTCCCTATTTTGTTTCTGTTTTGCTTTTTTCATCATTCTGATTTCATTTTTGTGCGTACCTGTGTGTGCGTTTATCTATTTAACTTTTCTTTACGATAATCCATCAGGTCTTATCTCTGTTTTATAGATGTTGTCACTCATGGAACATATGTACCAGGAACTTGGACTAATCGATGACTTTGGAATCAACTCAGTTGTTCTAAGGCGTTTCTTGGTAAGAGTAATAGAAGTATTAACCCCTTAACTTCCATGAGTGATCAAGAGAGAATTTCTCCTTACAATATCAATACGATATCAAGCAGACATGTGATAAGAATCAAGAGAAAATATCAAAAAGTGGATTATTATGTGATCCAGTACCAAATTCTCTGATCTACCATCATAATAATTGTACTGCAGACAGTAAGGAGAGTTACTAATTTGATCTTGGGAGTGAAAGGGTTGATAAGTGGTTTCTCTTTCAGTCATAAGACTGAAACCAGTTATTTCAGAAATCATTCGTCAAACCGAAAATGTTTATTTACCTGTTACAACATCTAATATTATTTCTGGCTCAAACTTCACAGGTATCAATTCAACAAAACTACCGAAACAATCCTTTCCACAATTTTCGTCATTGCTTTTGTGTCACTCAGATGGTAAGTGACGTCCTTTCAATAAAATGTTATTTAAAGCTTTTCTCGCTTCATTTGCATCACGGACAAGAATTTTGTAACGATCAAGGCCTGTCTCACTGTGTATATGAAACTTACTGAGAAAAACAGGATCTTACTTGGTGTAGAAGATTCAGTTAACGTAAAACAATAGAGAACAAAAATAAATAACGAGGAAAAAAGGTGAAATCAGTTGGTTGATGAGTCGGTATTCTATTGTGACATGTCCTGTGTCTTCTACACCAAGACGGAGTCGAAAAATACAAACAGATTTAGGAAACTTTGTTTTAAAGTTCTTGGTAACCGAAAGAAAAATTTCCGGTGGGGAGGAGGGGGAGCTGGGATTGAGTTAAGGCAGTACTTTTCTTTCAGGAATCCTTTACTTCGTAAAACTTAGAACAATACTCAATTTGAAGAACAGAAATTCATTGAAGATACTGTAAGGAGAAAATAATAATAAGAAAAAGAAGTTTACGCACTTGCTCCATCTGCTCAAACGAGGGGAGTAGAATGGCTGAGGGGTAAGAACATTAAGTCCCCTTCTGGTTTGGCCTAAATTTTGTGCTATATGTCGGTAGTAGTGTATTTTTGCTTTCGACCCTGCTTCGGGTGTTTTCATCCTTGTTTCCCAAGTTTTCATCCTTGACTCGGGGGTTTTCTCTGGCTTCGCTAGTTTTCCTACCTCCACAAAAGCCAATACTTAAATTTCCAACCCGACCAGGACACGGTGGACACACAACAACTTTGTGGAGGTAGTTTTGCAAAAATTCAATCTTTTTGTGGCGTACCCCAACAGTTCTTCCAAAATGTGTGCCTGAAAACTTTTAACAATGAAAAGTATAAAGAAGACTTTCACTCCTTTTTTGACTTGAAGTTTTCAATGCATTCAATATAAAAGTGGTCTCATGCGTGTTTCTTTCTCATCAGATGTTTTGCATCGTCCATCTGTGTAACCTAAAAGACTTGCTTTCAAAAATGGACCTGCTTGTTCTTATGACCGCCTGCATTTGCCATGACCTCGATCATCCGGGATTTAACAACACGTAAGTTGTTCAAATTAAAAACAGCACCATAGCCAGCCAATCAAACTGCATGTGTAAAGCAGTTTTCAGTGGAGAGTCGGAATATGAAAACGAACGTAATCCCGGCTACCAATCAGAACAAAGGTTAGCTTACGTGTAGCTACACCCTCCCCCCTCCCCCTCCCCCCCAATGAAAATTAACAAGAAAACTGTTTGCAGCGCGGGAAAACGCGGCAGACCTAGTTGCGATTGTCTTTGGTTTTGCATCTGATTGGTTGAGAGGATGGCGCAATTTTTCTGGAACAATATACAGAGCAGAGTGAAGTAAAAGCAGAACGATCTTGGATTACTTTCGACCCTCAAGTAAAAAGTTGCTTTGATTTAACTTATTGTCTGATCTTTAATTTTTCCAATATCTACAGTTACCAGATCAACGCCCAGACGGAGCTTGCCATTCGTTACAATGACATCTCACCTTTGGAAAATCATCACGCAGCCATCGCGTTTGAGATAATTAGTCAGGTATCTGATATCCTTTTAACGCTTTAACTCACTGTAACTTCTCCCTATAAGATTCGTACGATATCCGGCAAACGTGTAATGAGAATGCTCAAACTTGAGTTTTTATCTATACCTTACACTAAATTCTCGTAACTGATTTTCATGGAAATGTGTAGCAGCCAGAGGGGGAGAATTAGCTAATAGATCTTAGGAGTTGAAGGGTTAATAACGGCCATGTTTAATAATGATTTTAGCTCTCGCCCTTTTGAAATCATCCCGTACATGATAGCCATAGTCTATGATTATAAATTGAAAGAGAATTATGATAATGTACACGATCACGATCAAAAATCATAAAACGTTCTCGCCGCCAAACTTAATGTCTCCAAATCATCAGTGCTACAAGCTACACTTGTCACACTAATGTGTGTAAGATATGTCAAAAAAGTTGCACAATCAGGCAATAACTAGTTATAATGTATTGTTGTTATCAGCCGGACTGTAACATATTTGCCAACCTTAGTAAGGAGGATCAGAAGAAGATTCGGCAGGTGAGAATTGTCTCTTACTTCTACCAGTCCCCTGTTTTAACCATTATGTCGATAGAGGTCGATGTTTCTTTTTCTCAAATTTTGAAAATCCCTTTGTTTGTGAAAATACGATTCTTTAAGGATCTTAGCAAGACAGAGAAAGGCTAAAACGCCGTGGCGTTCTCGTCACACAATTGTGACAGTTAACAGTCATACCGACGATGATATTTAGAGTGAGAACGAAAAATTTACTTCTTTTTAGCTGTTGTAGGTGGCGTAACAAACAACATCAACAACAACAATTTTAAAACACCCCAAAGCTATCACGAATCTATTTTGAACTGGTTGTATCGCTTTCCCCGCTCCCTCCCACCTTGGATCCCTTGATGAGATACAATTGGTTCCTTACCCCTCTCCCTTTACTATCCTTCTGACGTTTCGTCAATACCCTCAAATATGTTAATGAGGATGGAATCAGGAGCTGTGATGACGCAGAAGAGGAATCAAATCCATCGTCAAATTGATCCGTCCGTTGATTTAGAGTTTTGCGCGCTCGCTACCAGACTACGGCGTCTCTACTTTCCGGTTGCATTAGGTAAGGAAGCTTAGGGAGAGGGCGCTTTCAAAAGTAATTTTTTGTAGGCATGCATGCGGGAATTGGCTTTGGACTAACTTCAGGGAGATATACCTGCATTCCCTTCCCATAACTGTCATTTTGTAATAAATTTTTTTTCTCAGGAAATTGTGATGCTGATCCTGGCCACCGACATGGCTCGGCACAGTGAAATAGTGGAGAGATTTAAGAGTAAACTGGACACCTTTGATTTCAGCAACGATGATTACGTTAGTTCGGTGAGCGAATGAACGAAATTTGTTCACGGTAGCTGTCAGGGTTGTTTTAACACGTATTTTTTACGTCTGCGGAGAAAAGTCAGGTGTTGATTTTTAATACTGCCTCCCATGGAGGCGAAGCCATAATGTTGTCCTATTGAGTGAATGAGTGAGTGAGTGAGTGAGTGAGTGGGTGGGTGGGTGTAACACCAGAATACAAACGACCTCTTAGCCCACAACGAAGTCTATCGAGTTGTACCCGATGTTCCTCGCTCTTGGCTTTTGTCTTTTTCGGGAAATACCCATTTATTACATGAACAACCTTTTAAAAATGTCTATTTTTTTAAAAACTGTCCCTTTTTTTATTAGCTCAAGATGATTCTTATAAAGTGTTGCGACATTTCAAATGAAGTTCGTCCAATAGATGTATCTGAACCTTGGGCGGACTGTCTTCTTGAAGAATACTTCATGCAGGTTAGAATGAGGTGTAACCACCCAATCGTAATTCAGGGAGTCAACTTCCAAATACCATGGCCAATAGAACTGGTGCGGAAACTTTTTTTGGATTTTTTTCTTGGGGCTTTTTTCAACTGTGCAATGTCAGTATTTGAGAAACTACGCACCCCTTCCCTAACCCAACAAAAGTCAACTGATAACAAGTTAGGGTTAATGTTGGGTTAGGGGAGGGGTAGGTGCGCAGTTGTTCACTTACCGATATTGACCCAAAACTTCCCATATACTTTTCAGTTACAATAAGATAATGCCAAGAGAAAAGATTGACCTCGGTCAAGGAGCTTTAACATAGACTTCAGTACTTAGTTTTCTCTTTCCGTCGCTTCTCATAATCAGACATCTGTTCTAATTACGAAAGGAAAAAGGCACTGACAGTTGTACGAACGGCCAATTATGAGTTCCAAA